GTGCCAGTCCTAGGACTCGTAGAAAATCCGACACAACACTAGAGCCGCAGAAAATCAAGATTTCGCTCTACTCTCATTTTGAAGAAGACACCTTGGACTATCAGACCATGGAGGAAAATCAATACAATCCTATTAAAAAGACAGTAATTTGCAACAGGAAATCATTAAGATAATACATATAGAAACAGTAATAAAAATACTGTATAGTAAAAAAAGATACAACGAAATAATAATACAATTCAGAAAATTAATCTGAATGGATGATCTAAACAGAAGAGAGCGAGGAGAGTGGGAAGTAATCTGTCTGCCAGGGTGAATAACTGAGTTGCAAGAAAACGAAATAAAGAACCTCAGGGCGGCCGAAAACGACTGGTGCATCTAATATAACTAATGATAGCTAAGTACTCTCCCAGTTGTGACAAGGATAGGGTAGCAATACATGGATCAGTAGTAATCTTATTGCTATTTAAAACTCCTGTTAGAACATGAAGTAAATCTGTGCAAGCGTTATTATGTAGCAAACAATGTAAGAAAAAATGGGCTACAGTTTCACCGAATCCATAAAGCACAGTTAGGAGACGGTACAAGTGAGCGTGCATACAGATTTCAACTGACTAAAAATCAGCCAACATCTCGCAAAGTCAAAATCAAATATGCGCTCATTGGGTACTATAGGTAGCTTAAGTTTAAAATAACAATTATCAGACAATAGTTGGGACATCAGTCTAGCTTTAAATTTTTTCGGGTTTGGGATGGAACACAAATCAGGCGTTAGTTTATTCCAAAACTCCTTATAAAATACGTATTAAGGGCATCATATTATAAACGTTGACGTACAGTAAATATAATGATAGATTTTTTGTCGTTACTTTGATGGTGACTCTCATGTGTTCTCTATAGTACACTTATTTTTTCTTAACACAACATTAGCCCCGCTAGTCGCAGGTCGCGCACAGTTTTTGTTGCAAGACGTTTATTTCATCATACTTCGCTATTGCAAGATCTTTGTGAAGACTTTTACACCGCAGTTAAGGGTACTCCTCCTCTCTTTTTGGGCTTTCCGTAGAAATGCTGTGAAATAAAAACTAAAAGTCACTAAGGCTTCATATGCTCAGAACTGATTGGAAACTCAATGGAGCACGTTATATTTTTGTCTCAAGTTTTTAACTATTGTCGTTCACCAGGTTTCTAGAAAACTCGGTTTTTCATTGGACCACATGGCGAGCAGCCTTAAATTTCATCTGACCAAGTTAAAAACTTTCCTGGAGATATTCAAGGTCATTTAGCAAAAGTATATCTTTGAAAATTTCTTAAAGACCTTTTCTGGTCGAGTTATAGGTAAAATACTGAAAAACGTCTCGAAAACTAAGTTTTTCAGCTTTAGAAACCCTATAATTCGGAAAGATAGGTCTAAAATAAAATTCCTCTACTATAGTGTCTTGAGTACCTCTGATAAAATTTTTAACTCGGTCGTAATGTGGTCTAATGAATCCGATAGCAAAAATATAGTTTGCGAGAAAAAAAAACATTTTGTACATAGGCCACTTTTTCGGGGCATTTGCCGCGATGTTTGTATCTCGACGAAACCTGATTCGGAAAATTCTGGAAAACGTCTCATTGTGAAGAAAGTATATTCGTCTATCAGATCATGTGTAAGAAAAATTTTAAATGTACAGAAAAGAAGAGAAAAGTTGATGAAATAAATTAAAAAGTTTTTTTAGGCTCTGAAGAAAAAACTTCAAAAACGCATAACTTTTTGAAGAAAGTCCATGGAGTGCCAAGAGCGGTCTCATTTTGTAGCCCACACTTTCCTTTACATCTGACTATGCTCAGCTCAAAATCCGAATATTTTTCGAAAAAGATGGGACTACCTTGAGGAGTGGTTCCACACAGTGGACAGCAAGTTGTTGCCAATAATGTGGACATTAGGAGAAAAACGAAAGTGAGTTTTTGTAAGATTTGAGTTGCTTCATACAAACTATGACTAACGGCCAAATTAATGGCGAAAGAATTTTTGTTGTGCTTGTCAAGGTTGTTGAAAAAACCTATTTCTAAAAATACGCTAGATTTCAGCGACGTCTAGGGAAAAGAGCATGTATCACAGAGAGTAAGAAGAGTATTTGGATCAATTACACATATTCGGAAAGAAGAGCTTTGGCTCTATCGATTTGTAAAAAACATTTATATAGCGAGTGTTTTCTTCTTTTTAGCTAAACCATTTTTTCTCAAAAGTACGACCTTTGATAAAACAGTTGTTTTGCCACTGCAACGTTCGCAATGACGTTAAACTACGATTGGAATTAAGGTAAGCGGTTTCTTCTGATTCTGTACATAGCAGATTTGTGTATGAAAGTACCTTCATTTTGAATTTTGAAGTTTTTTTAAATGAGCTATTTCATTCCTTGTTGTCTCTAGTCTATGTCCTAAATCGTTCAGGTTAATTACTTTAGTCATTTTTGAGACGACTGAGCAAGGGGGAAACGACAGCTTCGGGAACTTTTCAGAGCCGCTGAAATGCGTTCAGATGCTTGCGATGTTCTCCGATGCTACGAAAGGAAAAAGTCGCCTTCTCCCTCTTGAGACTGAGTGTGGACTGGTCCTTGAAACCTTAAAAATCGCCAGATGTGGGTCCCATGCCGGAGTTTTCAAATTTTTTAAATCCCATATTCTTGCTCCGAATTCAACGTTCTTTCAAATGAGATATGTCGCGATGTTTGCGGCAAACCTTCATGTATATGGGGATATTTCCGAAAGAATTAGCCAACAGTAAAGATAGTAAAGGGGCGCAAAAACGAGTTCTTTCCTAGTCGGTTCATGGCTCCATGAACAAATATTTGTAGCTGCTCTAGTTCATCATCAAATGAAACTCAAACCGTTTCTTACTGTTGAGCCGTGACAAGTAGCCAAGTATGAACTTCATTAGAATTTTCATTCTATAGATGTCCCCTGTCCCCTGAAAGAAACTGGTTCAATTCAACCCTCTTGGATTTTCACTCTAATTACTGCAACAAGAATCTGCGGTCAATGCTGGAAAAACGCGCAAAACCTCCTCTATACTCACCGTTCTGGATCTCTCGCAGTTGATTGAAATCTTGATCTCTCTAACGTAGCTATCGTTTGCCGAATTTGTTGAACACGTTGCTCATCTTCAGGAAAAACTCGTAGTGCAAATTCCAGAGCTTGATTGCTACTATTTAACGCATCATTCCATCTTAATAAATTTGAATATAGGTTCGATAAGCGCTCGTACAATGTAATATAAATCAAATCATCCTGAGTAAGTGTTTGGTATGTATTTATAGCTCTTTCTAAAGGGTCCAACGCCTGTTCAAAATCATCTTCATCCTCTAATCGTTGGCTGACAGTGCTCAATGCTTCAGCGTATTCTATATGCGCAGTTGGTAACTCTTTCAGTAAAATTGCATAATATTCTTTTGCTAGCTCAGCATTATTCACTTGTTTCATAAAGTCTTTCAGAGCCAGTAACGGTGAAAGTGATAAGTCATACTCATTTGTAAACCGGGCTAACACATTAAGAATTACATCTGATTCAAGTGCAAGTTCTACATTCCATACCGTATTCTTATGAGTAGAATTCATAATCTCTTCAACCGAAACAACACGAAACACAGCTCCTGCGGATAACAATATCTCATTTTCATCCTTCAGGCAGCTGAATTGTTCTATATTAGCAAATGGCTTAGTGCTTTTCAAATGAATTTTTATTTTAAATAAGACAGACTCCTTTTGTGGGCTCTCTGAGCCGTTTCCAGCGTATATTAGTGCAAGCTCTCGATTAATCGTTGTCGAAATGAATGAATTCATTGAGATTAACTTGCCGATAGAACGCTTCAATCTTTCAACTTCAAAGGCATGTAGAAATTGGCCTCTGTAAACTACTAAAGTAGCTTTGTAAGCCGTTAAGCTTTGAATAAATGGAGAATAAAGGTGTTGTAGTTCCGCATGTAAATCACGGATGAAATATCGAAACTTGTAAATTTCACACATTTGTTCTGTTCGAAATGCTTTGTTGAGTAAACGGTAGAGAAAACACGGTCGAGTATACCAAAATATCGCTCTATATTCTTTGCACGCCTCGTACGTGTTTTCAAATTCTTGAATTCGAAGCAGTTCAATATCATCATCAGCATACTGTCGGCGACATTCGTTTAACATATCCTGGGCACACCCTGGGGGTTTTTGAGCTCGAACAATCGATAAAATGAAATACTGGAACCAAATAAATTTGATTGATTCTGTGCTTAAGTCTGAAAATGATTTTTCGATGAAATCCGATTCGGGAACTGATATGAATACGCAGTCAATTTCTGTTAGTTTGGCTAACACTTCGTTTTTCGTAATAGGAATATCCCGTGATGCGTAACACTTGCTCACCAATGAGTTAGAACTCACGATATAAATGGTGTCGATTTGTTCTAGTTTGTCGGTAACGGAGCGGGCTTCTTCCGCCACATCATCCGCTAGAATAAGTACGACTTTTCTAACTTGTTGAGATATATAGTTAACACAGGAACTGATATCGGAAAACGATTTGAAAGAGTAAGCCGTACGGATAAGACGAACGATAGAACAAGGAAAGTAGCTCGTCTCATCAACATTGCTATCAACCCAAACAATAGCCAAATTTCTCTCTGCGGCCGCTGCTGTTCTCACTAAATCAGTCGTAATAAGGCTCATTGGAAATTTGAAAGCCATTGGCTAAAGATACGAAACTACATCATATTTAACAATACTCAACAAGATCGTACTGTCTTTTATTGTAGATGATTCACAAGGCCAGAAATGATTTTATTTAGTTGGAAACTACGGAAATAAAGAATACAAATATGCAGTCAACTCGAACTTTAATTAAGACGTTTAGAATTGTTTTTCGTTGGTGCTATTGTTGATCTGCTACTTGTGGATGAAGGTGGTGCAATTAACTATAGGATTATTATTTGAACTAATGGTTGTGATTGTACTGGTGATGATGTTTGAACATTACTTCTTTTTTGTTTATCATCTTTCTTTACCAATTCTTTCATTAATGAACAATTCAACTTTTTTATATGTTTATAAAAATTTGACAATTGAAATTGATTATCCATTTTCATGAATGAGAAATTTGAACTACATTTACATGTAATTATTGCTTCTAAATTACTATAATTATCATGTAATTTTAATATAAAATTCTTGTAGATTCTTTGCATTTCCTCTAAACATGAAATTATACCAGCGACCATAAGTATTTGAAATACATTTATCATCAAAATGGTCTTGGTTTTATTTTCGACGACAACAATTATTATTGTGTCAACACATTTAGCTACAAAGTGGAGAAATCGTTTATTATCTTCAACAGCACAATTAATGATGAATCAATAATCAATTTTCATAGAGGGTTTGCAAGATATTATTGACATTGATGCATATTCTAAACTTGATCATGATCTTGTTCAAACAGATATTAATCCTAAAGACAGACAAACTTATTGTTCTTGTGAAAAACTGGCATCACATGATTTGTAAAATACTGTAGGTGATAATCCCAAAATATCAGGAATATTTGTTTATCTTCATCTATTATAACTGTTGATAGTTGCTGATATTAAAAAATCGACAACAGTTAAAGGACATTTGCATTCAGCTTGGGTTGTTGTATTCGTTTGTCGACTATGGTGGTCACAGCTTAAAAATAAAACATTTGCTAATAAATCAGCACTATCTCAGAAACAAAAAATAATAATAATATAGATAAATATTTTATAACTAAAACAGCATCCTTCTCAGTTGAAATTAATGCACACAATTTACTTTACTTAATATCAGTTCAATAAAAAAACATATCAAAAGAACATTAATACTATACTTATTTAATTCTCGGTCATGTGAAACGATATTTCGTAATACGAGATCATTGAGTGGTGCTTACTCCACAATTCTTACTGTTAAAGTTAGTGATTTTCTTCGAGGAGCAGAAAAATTGTCTATATTAAATCAGATTAAGTGTAGTAAACTATCGAACAATAATGATCATCAACTTTTATTTCCAGTATATTACAAACATAAAAAAGATAATTATTTGTTAACATTAAGCATTTGCTGATGATGTTGAACATTAAGATATTAAACAAACTATATTAGATTCATATAATACATCCATTAGATTGATTCGACATTTCCATATGTTAACAGTTTTAAAACAACATGGTATATTTCAATTAGAACAATTAAGTAAATATGTAATTCCTGAATTAACTAGTAAATAAAGTAGTTTCTCCATTACTATCACCAACAATGAAAATACATGAACATAAAGATTTTATATTAAAATTAATTAAACAATGGTGTTTAAGTAACAAAGAAAACTTTAGTTTAGACGATTTTCAATCAAGAGGTGGGGAGAATTTTATATTAAAATTACATGATAATTATAGTAATTTAGAAGCAATAATTACATGTGAATGTGGTTCAAATTTCTCATTCATGAAAATGGATAATCAATTTCAATTATCAAATTTTTATAAACATATAAAAAAGTTGAATTGTTCATTAATGAAAGAATTGGTAAAGAAAGATGATAAACAAAAAAGAACTAATGTTCAAACATCATCACCAGTACAATCACAACCATTAATATTAGGATTGGGCTAATTTTTATTTGTACAATAAAAATAAGAGCTGGGAATTATTATTCCAAAATACGAAGTTTTTAATCTTTTCGACGGAAGGCGCTTGAGAGCCGGAAGTAATCTTATTTTGGATAGGACACTTTACTCTATACTGCACAATATTTAACTCAGAAACTAAAAACATTTCTAGAAAACGCTAGGATTCTAGGATTCGACAAGATATATACCATCAGATAGAGGAAGTCTTCAACTACTAACCTACATGTATCTCGTTCTGTAGTAAAAAATCGCCGTGAAATTTATAGTCGCCTTTTCAGAAATTCAGGAAAAAATTGTGATAAAATTTTTCTCAAAACTATCGTTCTTGAAACAATTTTGACATATAGGTTTCAGTATGCTCTACAAAGTGGGTGAATAGACTTCCACTTGAGCTTATTTTAGAACGTAAACATCTCGGGTTGATCATCATAGATAATCTTAGCTGCCAAACGTATGTCAAATATGTTGAAACCAAGTGCAAGAAAATTATTTATAGGACGAATCAATTTAAATATAGTTTATT